AAGGGCGTGGCATTTTGGGAGCCCCCCGTGTCAAAACATCAGACCACGGTCAAGCGGCTGCTGGTCCGGCCGCCTGGAGGTGAGAATATGTATTTTTTGGCATTTGTTTTTGCATTTGCTTTTATTTATTCATTTTTTATTTCAGATTTCTGTGCAGGGCAGCGTCTTCGATGTTGATTTGAGTGCTGTTTCTGCTGCTGCTGCTGCTGGTTGGTAAGTATGTGTTTTTGTTGTTTTATTTGTATATTTTTGGTAATTAATTGACTTTTCTTTTATTTCAGGTTTCTCAGCTGAGGAAATGGCCGCCTATACTCGCATCCAGCGGGCTTTCCTTGGACCAGGAGGAAGCGACTGGGCTTGGAGAGGATGTAGGCGTAAAAATTGCTGAGGGCGTGGCTTTTTTGGGAGCCCCCCGTGTCAAACATCAGGCCACGGTCAAGCGGCTGCTGGTCCGGCCGCCTGGAGGTGAGAATATGTATTTGTTGACATTTGTTTTTGCATTTGCTTTTATTTATTTATTTATTCGTTTTTTATTTCAGGTTTCTGTGCAGGGCAGCGTCTTCGATGTTGAATTGGGTGCTGTTGCTGCTGCTGCTGCTGCTGGTTGGTAAGTATGTGTTTTTGTTGTTTTATTTATATATTATTTGTATTTAATTGATTTTTTCTTATTATTTCAGGTTTCTCAGCTGAGGAAATGGCCGCCGCTGCCGCCGCGGCCATCGCCTCCAGGCCGGGATGGCTGGCGCTGCTGATGCCGCTGCTGCTGACGCTTATGATGCTGTTGCGGGCGCTGGGGGGGATTTGTAGCGGGCTCGTGGCCGGTGTGTTGGACACCGTGGAGGCCACCTCCATCATCATGGCGGCGACCATGTCGTCCGTGTCAAGTGGATCCACTGCGTCCATCTGGGCGGATGCAGCGGAGGATGCAGCCGAGAGCCTTCTCTGCTGGTATAGCTGGACTGCCGCCGCCAGCACCGCTTCGGCTGCCGCTACGTTGTCCATTTTGGCATCGACCTGGCTGAGATCGGCGTCCGAGTCGTCGTCTGGCATGGAATTGGCTGCGCCATGGTAATCCCTGGCTGCGTCTAAGTCGACTCGTCGTCTTTGTTGCTGCTGCTGCTGCTGTTGTTGTTGTTTCTGCTGCTGGTGGTGGTGGTGGTGGCCATGTCCTCGTCGGGAATTTGGTTTTCGGGGCATTTTGCCCTGTCGTATTTGTGGTCTGGAGTTTGTTTGTTCTACCGGCGGCAATTTATTGTCAATTTTAATTAGGGTTATTAGCGCGTCGCGTCGGCCGTGTGTGTGTGTGTGTGGGTTTGATTTTTAATTTGGCTTTTTAATATTTGTCGTTTTTGTGTGTCGTTTTGCATGTATTTATTTATTGGCTGTTTAATGTCTTTTCCACTCTCTTTTATTCCCCCTCTCTCCCCTTTTGGGAAGAATTAAAATGGCTGGGAATATTGTTTAATTGTTTTATTTTATTTATTCTTTTCTACCTTCTCTCTCGCGCTCATCTCCGGGACTTGAGTCTCTTTTTTTTTATTAAATTTTAATTGTCAGGGAACTTCTTTTCTTTCATTGGCGTTTTCACAGAACAAAATTTTTACAAAATATTTGATCTTAATTTAACATGGTGGTTTTTATACTTAAATGTGCCTTAGCTATGTCTGGAGTGGACGGATTTAAACAATTGACAAAAAACTAGATTGCAACATTTACACACACATGAAAAATGAATTTTAAATTGGGTCAAAAACGCACAGGAAAGAGTCACACAAACAAAAAAAAATTTGGGAGAGGCAGTTGCCCGCATATAGAATATGCAAAGTGGTCGGGTTTATGGGCAGATATAGGGCACAAGCAATCTTTGATTTAATTGCTGTTTGGAAAAATCACACTAATTCGCGCAAGACACACTCTTCGCGCACACACACAACTCCGATTCCGCTCGACTTGTACTTTTTATTGGCGGGGGCGGACACGAAAAAAAATATAATTATTTGCCAGAGCTGCGACGTACTGCTGGCTGCCGGGGCTCAAGAACGACTCCCAGAGCGATGCCTCGAGCGATGCCAATATTGCTACAGGCAATTACTCGAGGGGATCGGCTCCAGTGAGGTCTCCCCCGGCATACCCGCAGTACGTGTGTCTGTCGATCGGTCGGTCGGTCTTGGTAATTGGGGAGAGTACAAGTGAGAGTCAGAGTGTTTCTCGTTGTGTGCAGTGCCTAAAAGAATGCTACGAATTAGTGTGACTTTGTCAAAAATATGCTTGTGCTTTGGCTAACGCCCAGGAATTGAAATAGTCAAGTAGGGGGGACTTTGCATACATAAAGAAATTTATACATTTACATCTAGAAACCCTAAGGCAGTCAACATAAACATACATTTTGATTTTACGGTATTGCGGCACGTGTGTCCTTCGACCCCTTTCTTACCCTTGCCACCTGCTGAAGGCAGGTGACTAGGAATGCAGCGTAGGTGCATGTGGGTCGGGCAATATATGAGGGGACGGTAATCGCATATGTAACGACACTGAAACATTTCTGGCACTAATACGGGACAAAAAATAATGATGAAAAATTCACACATATTAGGCCGTGGCGGCTGGCGACAATTTGCCTGCCAAAGTCCGAAATTAATATTTTCCAGACAATGGCAGGCAAATTGCCGCGCAATACAAATTTGCCGAAACATTTGCTGGCAGTTTTAAATGGCAAGTGTGAATATAAATATTCACACTTGGGATATTTCGTCAGTTGACGGAGAATTTAGGGGCCTTTTTAGGGTTGTTTGCAGGGTATATTGTGTGGTGGGGTGGGGAACTGTCAAAAGTGACAATCGAAAACAAGCCGTGTTTCGCGCAGCGTAAACACTTTGTCTGGTAAGTGGAAAATTTAGATATTAACAACAGATTGGGGAATGGACTGCATGGCTTGGAATGTACTTAAAAGTAAGTACATGAAATGGAGGTACAAGCTCATGCAAACGGACAGTAGTTGGGGACAACGATTATCTACAGAAACTACAATGTACCAATTACACACATACAACAGAATGTAAACAAGACAATACAGATATAAAACTGAACTACATTTAACATGACATTAAGTGAGACAATTTAAAATAACAATATGGTCAAGATCTATAGTATGTGGAGTAATTCTAATTATAATTATCTTAATTGGCTATTTTCAGAGGAGACGGACAACAACAAAGCATCGGCCGGCATAGCAGACAAACATATGTTTGTGCACAATGCGCATCTGAGCATTGTGTGCATGCCGGCCAACTCTGCCGTCCCCCCCCCTGGACGTCATAAGTGGAAAGGAATCACCCGCAGATTTTAATGGAAGGTAAGTGTATATAGTATTTTGCGGATGATTCTACTAATTTAATTTACTTGGGGCGGGCAAATTTGCGCGCCCTATTTTTCAGCGCCGTCGTCGTGGTGAATGTCGTTGCCGCTGCCGCTGCTGCTGACTTCTGGCCGCTGGTGTTGGATTCCGGTGGAGATAGTCCAGTGGCGCTGGTCCGGCCACCGGAGGATGGAGAGAGACACTCGCCACACACATATGCACCCTCAGCGGCTCGGGTCCGGCCGCCTGGATGGTGCATGAAATTGGAGTGTGATTGTGTGCGAGTGTCGGAATTGGCGTGCCTCTGGACAAGCTGTCCAAAGTTGTCGCACTCGACCATAATTAGGCGGCTCTGGTCCGGCCGCCTGCAGGTGAGTGATTGTTGTAGTTGTTTTGTGCTTGTTTTATTTTATTGTATTTATTTTAATTGTTTTCCTCTTTTATTTTCAGGTTTTTCTGCAGAGGCGCATCGTCGATTAGTGGCTGGCCACGCCATCAACAAATACACTCTCTATGGACCAGAGGAGTGTATGGAATTGAAGAGAATGATGGCGTGACGAATCGTGGAGGGCGTGGCATGTTCGCGCTCCTTGTCCAGTGCACGACAAACCTCAAGCGGCTGCTGGTCCGGCCGCCTGCAGGTAAGTACGTGTTTTTTTTTTTTTGTAGTTTGGTGATTTTTGCATCTTCTTTTTATTTATGTTTATTTGTTCCAGGTTTCCTTGCAGGACTGCGTCATTGGTGTTGATTTGGATGCTTTTGCTGCTGCTGCTGCTGCTGCTGCTGGTTGGTAAGTATGTGTTTTTGTTGTTTTATTTATATATTTTTTGTATTTAATTGTTTTTTCTTTTTATTTCAGGTTTCTCAGCTGAAGAAATGGCCGCCTATATTCGCATCCAGCGGACTTTCCTTGGACCAGGAGGAAGCGACTGGGCTTGGAGAGGATGGAGGCGTGGAAATTGCTGAGGGCGTGGCATTTTTGGGCGCCCCCGTGTCAAACATCAGACCACGGTCAAGCGGCTGCTGGTCCGGCCGCCTGGAGGTGAGAATATGTATTTGTTGACATTTGTTTTTGTATTTGATTTTATTTATTCATTTTTTATTTCAGATTTCTGTGCAGGGCAGCGTCTTCGATGTTGAATTGGGTGCTGTTGCTGCTGCTGCTGCTGCTGGTTGGTAAGTATGTGTTTTTGTTCTTTTGTTTGTATATTTTTGGTAATTAATTGATTTTTTCTTTTTATTTCAGGTTTCTCAGCTGAGGAAATGGCCGCCTATACTCGCATCCAGCGGGCTTTCCTTGGACCAGGAGGAAGCGACTGGGCTTGGAGAGGATGTAGGCGTGGAAATTGCTGAGGGCGTGGCATTTTGGGAGCCCGTGACAAAACATCAGACCACGGTCGAGCGGCTGCTGGTCCGGCCGCCTGAAGGTGAGAATATGTATTTGTTGACATTTGTTTTTGTATTTGCTTTTATTTATTCATTTTTTTATTTCAGTTTTCTGTGCAGGGCAGCGTCTTCGATGTTGAATTGGGTGCTGTTGCTGCTGCTGCTGCTGGTTGGTAGGTATGTATTTTTGTTGTTTTATTTCTGTATTTTTTGGTAATTAATTGATTTTTCTTTTTATTTCAGGTTTCTCAGCTGAGTAAATGGCCGCCTATACTCGCATCCAGCGGGCTTTCCTTGGACCAGGAGGAAGCGACTGGGCTTGGAGTGGATGTAGGCGAGAAAATATTGCTGAGGGCGTGGCATTTTGGGCGCCCCCCGTGTCAAACATCAGACCACGGTCAAGCGGCTGCTGGTCCGGCCGCCTGTAGGTGAGTGTGTGTATTTGCTGTTTTATGTGTTTGTTTATTATTTAAGCGTGGAATTGTTGTTTTCTTTATTTTCAGGTTTCTCTGTGTGCCTATGCCGTCGATGAATGTTGGCAGAGTCCTCAGCTATTACTCTCTCCATGGACCAAGGGAGGGCTATCGATTGGAGTGGATGATCGGCGTAGAGATTTGTGGGAGGCGTAGCATATTACTTGTTGTCTGTTGTTTTGGCTTATAAATTGGATTGTTTATTATTATTCTTTTTTTGTTGCTGTTTGTTTTTCAGGTCAGTGTGGTGGGGTTGCGGCGTCACTGTCGTCGGAAATGGTAATTCTGCTGATGCAGTCGTCTGAGATGGTTATGGTGACTGGCATGCTGGGGCAACAATCAGGGACAACTAGCCTTTTTATTGACAGGGGTTGGCCCTTGACCTTGAGAATAGCTTGCTCTCTTGTGTATTCTCCGCTTACGTATTTTCTTTTGTAAATGTTAATTAGTGTTTCGCAGAGTCTACTGAATGGCCGGCGCGCTTCGTCTTCAATTCTCTTTTTTCTGATGGCTTCCTTTCTTGCAGCCTCTTTTTTGTCAAGTTCCTCCTCTTGGAGCCGTAGTAGAGTGGGTAGATTTTCCCGTTGTTGGATCCTTAGGTCGTGCAAGTAGGTAGCGTTGTTTGAGCTTCTGTTTGGCTCAGTGTTGGCTTGCAGTTGTAGCGGATGGAAGTGTTTTTGTAGTTGGAGAGTGTATCTTGGCCTGAGGAGTCTGTCCGGTACAAATGGATTAGTGGCTAGCTTCCGGGCTTCGGGATTTTCCTGGGCGGCAAGGGCGTTGGCGAGCCTGGAGCTCGATTTTTGGTAAGTTTCCTCTACTGTTGGGATATTGTACCTTGCCCTGAGCGCGTCGTTTCTAGCGTATCTCCCAGCTTTCAGGGCCTTGCGTAGAATGATATTTTGCAGCCCCTGGATACGCTTTAATTGTGTGTCCGAGCATAGCGCGCCCCACACAGGCAGGGTATATTGCCAGAGGGGGGCGATGAGTTGCCTTACCATGAGCGATTTGCATTTTTTAGGCAGTTTGCTTCTTGGGCCAATGAGCCAGCCCAGCTTTTTTGCCCTAGCCCTCATTCTCGCTCTGAGTAGTGCAACATGTGATAACATGTTTAGTTCGCTGTCTAATTTAACGCCTAGGTAAGTGGTGCATTTTTTGGTTTGAATCGCTTTATCGTTGACCATTATTGGGACGTTGTCAAGTAGCTTCCTCCTTCTCGTGAATATGACATGTGCCGTCTTATCTGCGTTGATTGTGATGGACCATTTTCTAGTCCATTGGAGTAGCTCCCTCAGGTAGCCGTTGTTAAGCCTAGTCGCTGATGATGGGAAATCTGCAGCACTCAGGATGGCCGTATCGTCTGCGTAGGTGGCTAGAAGCATTCTCTGCCCTATATTGGGGAGGTCTCTGTGGACCGTAATTGGCATTGGCATGTCTGAGGCATAGATAGAGTATAGGATGGGGCCCAGGACACTCCCCTGGGGGACACCCGCAGCGATTACGCCCGTCCTCGAACGTATACCGTCGCAGCATTTGACTGCGAATGAACGCTGGGATAGGTAGCTCTCCAGGATAGTGTATAGGCGCAGTGGGAGGACCTGGATGAGTTTGGAAAGTAGACCCTCATGCCAGACTCGGTCGAAGGCCTCCGAGATGTCCAGGAACACGGCCGAGCAGACCTTCTTATCCTCGTGCGCCTTGAGGACGAATTGGGCCACACGACTTAGTTGCTGTTCAGCGGCATGCTCTTTCCTGAAGCCAAACTGGTGGGCGGGGATGGCTTTTTTGAAGGCATCCTCCTGCATTAGCCGCCTCAATAGGAGCTTCTCGAATAGTTTTGAGAGTCCAGAAAGGAGACTTATTGGGCGATAGGAAGCCATATTTGCTGGATTCTTTTTCGGCTTCGGGACCATTGTAATGATGGCATGTTTCCATGCCCTCGGGAAGTGACCTATGCGTAGGATGGAATTGAAGATAAGTATTAGGTACAGGATAGCTTTCTTGGGCAGGATCTTAATGACTCCATTGTCAATGTTGTCTAATCCGGGGGCCTTGTTTCTGACGAGTTGACGAATCTCATTCTTAACTTCTGTCAGTGTGATTGGTTTAGTGAATTTGTGTCCCGGTTGCTGTATACTTATCGCATTGTCGTTCGCTTTTTTGGCCCTTGTCTTCTGCCATTCGTCGATGATTGCTGCCCTTTCAGCGTCTGTGCTGGTGTGTTGGGGGCTGAGTCTCTCCTCGAGATGCTTTGCGAAGGCTTCTGCCTTCTCCAGGGTACACCGTGTCCAGGTAGTGTCTTGGTTGTCTGTTATTTTAACTGAGCAGTTAGGTATTGGCTGTTTTTTCATGGTTTTCGTGATTTTCCACAGCTTGGCCATGTCCTTGCCATCCATTGTGCTGACTGCTCTCAGCTTGTCATTAACTTTGTTGATTTTAATTGCAGCCATGGCCTTGTTTAGCTTATTTTGAGCCCTTCTGTAGTTTTTCCTGGACTCTATTGTTCTAAGTGTCAGGAAGACTCTTCTTCTATCCTGCTTCTCTTCCCAGAGTTTCATCGTAGGTCCATCAAGTTTGAGGGGAGGGTATTTTCGGGGGTTGAAGTTGGATTTTCGTATTTCGGTGCTAGCTTTGGCTGCAGCGTCGTTTATATTGTTGTGGAGGATGGTCACCGCGTCATCTATATCCTCACCCGAGTTGATCTCAGTATTCAGGTGGATGGATTGTTCTAGGTGCAAATGGAATGTTTTTATATTAGAACCCCTGGGCAGGAGTCTAATGTTTTGGGTGGTCTTGGTATCTGGGTTTTGTCGTCGGGATTTGTAGATGTGTGTTATTAGCGGTAGGTGATCTGAATCAAGGTCCATGGAGGCGTAGATCCTGACATGGTCGGGTTTAATGCCGCACGTGATGGCAAAGTCTATGGCCGAAGGAGACTTCCTTCGGTCGTATGGGAAGTGTGTAGACCCTCCCGTTGCCAGAACTTGGAAGTCACTGCGTTCTTGGATCGCTTCGTACAGTTCCCTTCCTCTTTGGCAGGACCTGAAATTACCCCACCAGGGGTGTTTGGCATTCCAGTCGCCGCAGATCATGTAGCTGTTATTGACTGATCCAGCTGCAGACTGGTCAAGGAGAGTGAATAGGCGGGAGAAATTTTGTTTAATCCAACTGTGACCTGGCGGGCAGTACAAAGGTGCCAGGATCATCAGGCCGTCCTCGCTACCATCATCCGGGAGTAGGGCTACAGGGGCACTTTGGACTGACTCCTCGTTGACGGGCTGTAGGGCGATGTGTTTTATGCCTGTTCTCACAAGGGTGGCAACACCTCCCCTTCTCCGGCTTACAGGATTACTGGCATGGTATGTGATGTAACCATCAACAGCTATGTCGGCACCTTTGGTCTCTAGAACCATCTAATGAACCTCAAAAAGGGACAAGTACTTGTAGAGTTCGAGCAGTTAAAACCAAGAATGAGGTGGACTCAAGGTCTTACGTCTAAACTACGACAGCAGCTAGACACCTTACCGCATACGTTACCCCCACAGGAGGAGGCTCCACAACCTGCTTTCTTAAGAGTATATTACAGATCCGTAATCCCTCTAGTAACCGACAAGTGGGAGTTTGCCTCATGACGAGTGAGGAGAGAAGTTGTAGGATCTCTTCGAGTTTCACTTCCAGTTGCTGGATCCTTTTATTGTTACTTTCCATGGCTGCGCTGCAGTTGCCAACACAGGTTTGGAGTGGATTTTGCTGCCGTGGCTGGGGCTGGGGCTGAGGCTGGGGCAGACGAAAGTTGGGGGGCTGTTGCTGCCACTGTTGTT